CTTAGCCCATATTTCTTTTATTATAAATAGATAACCCTATGTGTGTATTTAACACAAGGGGATATTCTCTCCCAATCTTCTCTATTTCTAATAGAAGTGATTAGATGATTAATATGGGAGGAGATCCTACCATAACAGTTTGCTTCAGTAACACATTTAACTCTTCCAAGCGCACACCCTTTGAATAATCCTGCAGCATAATCCCACCATTCTGTCAATTTCATAACAGTGAATTACAACCCAAAAAGAAATATGAAAGCGAAATATAAATTCCATCATTTTTTTCCCTAATCATACGTAACTAAAGATTAAAAAGATGAAAATCTTTATGTAAAAGATCAGGTATTAAACAAAACCTCCAAGAGGCTAAAACAGAATCTAAGAATTCTATAACCTTTGAATTAGCCCTTTTTTTCTAATAATTTTATAACATTTTCATTCGCCAACTGCAACCATATTTAAATATATTTTACCGACCAAGTTAAAGGAATAACAAAAGTAATCATCCTGAAATACATCATACAAAAGGTAATGATCTTCTGCTGTAAGAGATAACATCTTAGCAGCAAGAAGATAATTATAATGATATCAAAATATCTAAATACAGATGTTCTCAAAGAACACATTCATAGAGAGGATATGAAATGATTTTATAACAGGATTACCGCAAAATATTTTCCTTGATTTCCTTTGATATATTTTAAATCGCAATAAGTTTTTGCAAATTCGTATTTAGTCTTCCCCAGCAAACCAGGCCTGTAAATAGAAGCATTTGCAGAAAATTGCATTCAGAGTCTTTGCAGATAGAAAATTTTAAATACAAAAACATTCAATATGAATATACTTGCCATAGCATATTTATCTGGTTATATATGTCGTACGGTCTATGAGCACCTAGGAAGAGAGGCACCATAATATGTAAGAAGTTTTAATTGTTAAAATAATAAAAACAAGAACAGTGGACACAGAACATAAACTTAAATATAGAGTAAAAAGCAAAATATTAAATAAGATTTTTCATTTTCACTCCAACTTGAAAATAAATGCAACTGGCTTGCTGTGATTATGCCACAACCTTGACAGAGAAGGTGTCCCTGATAGCAGAATTATACGATGGACTTTTGAAGCCACATCAAGAACAGCCTGTATCTGTTCAAACAAAAGATAGATGGCAAAATATAACTTTCAGACTTTAGCTAAATAGGAGATACAGAGAGAAAAGATAACACACTAAATTACAATTACAAGGCAGATATTAAGAATATGAAAATCTGCCTTCTGAAAGCAGTTCTTCAAAAGGAAAATGAAGTTCACATGTTTGATTTCGTACTCTCAGATGTTAAAATATGGTTATTTGATTACCAAACCCCAATCAGATCTTCTTATCCCACTAATATAAATCTCCTCCCTCAAACCAAATTCATACAGCACTGCTACAAACTACAATACATTGTAAGTGCAAATTCATAATCCAGGGCAAAAGAGAGATAACAGTGCTAGTAATTGTAGCTACAACAATTATAATGTGATCATCATTTACGGGAACCAAGAAGCCTCTATCTTAGGAGTACCACAGTAGTAGTTTCCACCCAAACACTCATGCACACAAAGGCAACGGAAAATAGATGTTTTGAACAAAAAAATACAGAGGGATTAAATCTTTTTTCCTCATTTAAATTTCTTTTATTGTGGATTAAACATCCTGACTGAGGGAAGATTATTGAAGAAGCCTGGAACAATCCCTCTACAGTCTCAAGCAATCTTCAGGTTTTGGTTAGAAAAGTTTAGTTATATTGTTCAAATCTTTGGACTGAAACAATCTTCTGGCGTTTGGTTAGAAAAGTTTAGCTATACTGTTCAAATCTTTGGACTGAAACACAATGAAGTAGATCATTTAGTCTTTTACTGTCATACATCTCTTACAAAATGTGTTAACCTAACTGAGTAGTTGATGATAGGAACTCGGAAATAGTTAGGCCCAAACCCAAAATATCTAAGGTGTGTATTAAACAGAGAATGAATGACAATGTAGGGGATCAAAATGGCATGATAGAGAATGAGAAGAGTCCTTCCATGTAACAAGCTGCTGAGCTGGCACGGTAGGAAAGCAGTGATTTTGTTGTATGGGTATAAAGCATGGAAAGATAGTGGGGGAGAATAGGCTGGAATTGGCTGGGATTTGGGAGAGACTAGGCACTCTCTAATTGTCTAGAGATACTTTCTACTTTGCTTACTGTTATGTATTTTCTTTCCTGATTCAGGCACTGATATCATTCTGATACAGTCCTGATTTCATTACTAATACAGTGATTATTCAGTTGTATTGTGCTTTCTTTTTTCTAGTACCTATTAGTTGATGATATAATTATTACAGGAAATGATGTCACCAAAAACTAGTAGTCTAAAGCAACATTTGAGCAAACACTTTTTTCAAACCAAAGATGTTGGGTGTCTCAAATACTTAGGCATTGAAGTGACTCAATCAAAAGAGGGTCTTTTAATTGCTCAACAGAAATACACGTTTAAAATATGCATTGAATATCTAGAAAGAAATGGGAATGATTGATTATAAATCGATGGATAGTCATGTGGATCCAAAATAGAAATTAATGGCAGAACAAAGTGAGCCCTTCTCAGATCCAAAGATATGAAGAAGACTTTCGAAAAAAACTTATTTATCTTACTATTACTAGGCCTGACCTACCTTTTGCATTTGGTGTGGTGAGTTAGTTTTTTTAAATTCCTTGCATTGATTATTTGAATGTTGTTTTTCACATTTTCAAATACCTCACATTCTAGGACAAGGTCTACTATATGAAGATAAAGGGAAGTACCCAGATATTTGGATATTGTGATGTTGATAAAGGTAGGTCTCCAATAGATTGGCGTTCCACTACTAGATATTGTGTTTTCATTGGAGAAAATATTATTCTTGGAAAAGCAAGAAACAAAATGTAATTGCTTGATCAAGAGTTGAACTTGTGAATGGCATCACTCACTTGTGAGGATAAAACAATTTCTCCAACAGAAGTTTAGTGAAATTCAACCAATGAGAATGTAATATGATAAACAAGCAACTCTTCACATTGCTTCCAACCTTGTGTTTCATAAGATGACAAAACATAGAAAGTGAGTGTGATTTTGGTAGAGAAAAGTTGTCCAAGGAAATTTGTACTGAGTTTGTTGTCTCCAATGATCAACTTGAAAACATTCTAACAAAATCAATGGGAGCTCAGATTCAATTTATATTGGACCATATAATCTCTATGCTCCAACTTGAAAGGAGTGTTAGAATAGTTTATATTATTTTCTGAACAAAAAGTTGTTTCTTGTTCTATCTACTCGCAAGCTAGCATCCTAGGGGTTTAATTTTTTCTCCTTTCTTAAGCTTATTTTGTAAGCAATCCTTATAAATATATGAACATGAAAAAACAGTGAGATCCAAAAGATATCTTACACTTTTTCTCTTTAAGTAGTTTCTTTTTGGTGTTTTAAATTTTACAAACAAGAAACACAATGGAAACATTGCATACCTCGCCTGGTTCTGTTTTCTTCGTACATCGCACATGATGTGATTCATCAACAATCAAAAGAGCCCATTGAAGTTCAAGCATGTTCTTTCTTAGACGATGAAGCATGGTATAAGAAATAACCACAACTCTAGGTTTTCTTGTTAAATATATAGGGTTGTCTTGATGGCCAAAAACTGAATTTGAAGAAACATCTAAATGTCAACAAGCTAGCACAAGAAATTATCAATTTTGTAACAGAATCATGAACAAAAATGGCCATGCAATGAAAAAGGAAATTAATAGGCAATATTTCAAATTATTAGAAGTCAAATCTATATTAGTGCTCACCAACAGCTTTACTGTAGTATTGAAAATAAATTACCCAGACACCCTTTAACTGAATATACAGCAGACTAAAGTGAATTGCTGGACAGACTCGTCATTCTGATAACTACCAGTTTGTCATGGCTGTCATGTAAGTTATTAATGGAAAGGGTATAATGAGGCCCTGCGAGAAAAACTATATTTTCCAGATCATATTGTCATTTTATTTTTAATTTAAGCTTATCTTTCCTAATGTTTCACATCATGTTGGCTTTGAAATCTGTACCAAATTGGATTACTGTTAAACAGTCACAATACAACAAATCAACTTGATGTGTACACAAATGCAAAATTGAATATGTGAATATTCATGTGGATTTCACTGACTTTTTGTTGTCTCATTTATAAGAAAATTGTTTAAGGTTTCAACAAGCTTTACATTGGTTGTCAAGGGCTTAATACAACTCTCCTCCTTTATTGGCACTTGGGACTGGCCGTAGAGAAATCCACAAGGAGAAGAGTACAGAGGTGGACAACAAGTCCTTTTATCACAGCCAGAGCTCAGCAAATAGTAACAGATCTTATTTGTTGGCCTAGTAGTAGTAGAAGGTTGTACTACTGAGAGAACTATCATGGTGAAAAGATAGAAAATAGGGACCAGGTCTCTACTGAAAATGGTACATATAGTGTACAATACACTTCTGCTACAAATATCAGTGCAATGTTAGTATCAGGAAAACATAACTGCAGAGAAAATAGCAGCAGAATTGTAAAATAAATACAGATTATCCAAAGGCATTGAGAGCCATGGCCTATTCCTGCAATTCCATTTACTCAGATCTTTCCTGCTTCTTCTCTCTCTTTCTTTCCCCTCCTCCCGGTTTCTCCCCTCTTCAAACCAACTGAATAGTCCTATGTGCATTTCCATTACCATGCTCCATGCCATGTATACAGTTAGTTGTACTTTTACTCATTGCTTTCAGTGATCACAGTAAATGCACTGATCACATGAGGAACTAATCCCCCTTCCCTCTCCCTTTCTTTCTGCAATAAGCTTGGTTAATTGGTGACTTACTAATGCAAACCCATGCTTCATTTAAGTTTCAGAAAATCGTAGCCTTAAATGCACCAAGCAATCACACCAAGTTGTAAAGCGCTGAACAGTTGGACTTACTTCCATGACCACATAACACCAAACGTTCTTCTAAAACCTATGTTCATTATTCCTGAATCTAATCATGAAATCAGCTTAGCTCCAAATCTTCTAAGTAGTTAATGTGGCACGTGCCAACACCAAAAAACACCCTACTAGATTATCAACTCATCATCGTCTGCGCATAACTACAAACCACTCTTAACTAACCACGTAATCAACAAAACACCCATCCACACAAAGTTATCTCCACAGTAGAGTTCTCAAACCATATATTTATAAAGCATGGCTGATTCATTTAACCAATCTTTCCATCTAGTCCAGGCACCATATCCAAAACCATCTTTTTCTTTTACTGTTCAAATATCCCAATACCAAACCATCTTCAGTAGAATCATCTATGCATCCAAAGAATTCCATTAACATAATCTCAAACACGTGAACTGTACTGTCATCGCAAGCACTCTACATTTTTTTCAAGAACAACACGCTCACGGTTTCAAGTGTCAATTGAGACCAACCCCAATATTGGTCATTAACAAATACCACAACCTTTCTTAAAAAGCAAAACATTACCGAGATGTATATCAGCCGGCAAACAGAAAGGAAGCCAGCGCTCCAATTCCTCCGCCCACGTGAACCGCAACACAGCAGGACAAACCACGAGTATGGAACCTTCATCCAGAAAACACCCCGCAATAGCAATAGCCTAATACAAAACAAAAAAAAAAAAAAAAAAAAACCATCATCCAAACAATCACGTCAGAAATTTATAATCACATTTACACAATCCAGCCAAATACAAATCATCACAACAATGAACGTTACCTGGAGTGTTTTCCCGAGGCCCATATCATCGGCAATGAGACACCGAGCGCCTCTTCTCAACGCGAACCGCAGTCCGTCATGCTGGAAAGGGAGCAATACGTCCAGGAGAGACCTTGGGAGTTTCGCGATCAGGCGCTCTACCTCCTCGTCGGCCAAGTGCTCCGGCCGCACCGGCGTCCACCGCCCAGCAGCTACCGAAAGCGAGAGACGCTCCACCACGTTGAACGTCGCCCAGGGGATCTCCTCCACCTGAAGCGCCTCCACCTCCACCTTCAACTGTCTGACCACAGCGTGGTACTCCGTGAGCTTGAACACGCATACCTCCACCCCTCCGGTGGTCTGCGTGAAGTGCGAAAGCATCACCTGAGAAACGAAAAACGAAATTAGGGTAAATAAAAATAGAAGAGTGTGTGTGATGGCTAAAAATGAGAGTGAGAGAAGTGAAGTACATGTGAGAGAATGGAGTTTAGAGTGGAGAGGCAATGCTGGTGACCGGGGAAGGGGAACGGAGGAAGCTGAATGGGTGTGATGGAGAAGGAATCGGCGGAGCATATTTCGAGTCTGGCGAGGAACTTCGGGGGTTGAGGTTTAGGGAACTTTTGGCACTTGAAAAGGTGCCATGGGTTGGGGTTCGTAGTCTTTTCTCCTTCACCATGAGATTGTTCTTCTCGTTGCGCTCTGGATTCTAAGAACGCTTTGCGTTTTGCGATCGCCGCTGCACGGTTCGCTTCAACTTGCCGTTGTTGTTCTTCGGTGAGCTCCATTGCAGCAGAATGAATGAAGTTTGATGTGATTTCATTTCATTTCATTTGAATTGAACCGAGGAGTGCAGTTTTCAGTTTTGAACTAAGCCCGTGCCACTCTGGCGCGTACATTCACGCCCTGCTGGAATTGGGAGAAATGTTTCCTTCTGGTATTTAAATTTTGAATTGAAGTATGTTACCAACGGAACTGTAATCTTCATACTCACATCATTTCATATATTATTTAATTAAACGTATTATTGTCTTATTCTAAATTGTATTCTAAAATTCTATTTATGTTTACATATATTTATTATATAATTAAATGCATTATTAATGTATTCTAAATTTTTATTTACATTTATTATTATTATTATTTGAATATAATATTTTATCACTAAAAAGAGTTGTTGAAAGAAAATTGGTTTAATGTCTCAATAGGTTCCTATTTTCGTCCATAATTTTAAATAATTTCTTTTATTTTTTGGCGTCTCAATTGGGTCCTTAATTTTGTTAATTTAATGCAAATAAATCATTTCTGTCAATTTTATCAAACGGTGTTAATGAGTGTGTGACATGGCCTGGTAACACTGTATTTTTAATACACGTGTCAACAAAAATATCTGTGAATGCGATTTTTTAAAATTTATAATTAAAGAATTAAGTAAATATATTATCATTTTTGCTGAAATTAATTAAAGAAAGGGCAAAGATGAAAAATGGTATTGGTCTTTTAGCTGAAACATCCATTGTTTCTACAAGTGGGAAATCAAAATCAAATTGGGAGAATTTTGTATTTTAGGACTCCTTGGGGAAAAATTGGGGGGAAAATTGTTGAGAGAGACATGTAGATGTGATGTTTAATGTGTGATACCTATTACAGTCTTGAAGAGCTGGAAGGAAGACTTTGGTTGTCTCGACAACGTGGAAGGCGTCGGGAACGTTGCTGCCACAAATCATGACCTCGCCCTTGGGGTTTGGGTCATCGAGGTTAATGGGGAGGAGGGCGGACATGCCAAAGGCGGGGTAGTTGCGGCTGCCACCGAGTAAGACGGGGAAGGTGCGAACGATTTTGTGGGAGATGAGGTTGAGAAGAACGGAACGGTTGTTGGAGAAGATGAAGAGGTTACCGTCGGTGGAAAGATGGACGAAAGGGTAGAGATTGTTTTCGTCAATGTCCAAGGTTTCTGTTAAGAAGGGGAAATAGAAGGATTTCTCACTCCTTTGGCCTTCTGCTGGAACGAACTCATAGCTAAATGATCTGCACCCAATTTGATTTTGATTTCCCAGTTGCACAGAAAATGGATGTTTCACATGCCATGTCCATCTTTGCCCTTTCTTTAACTAATTTCAGCAAAATTTATAATATATTTATTTAATTCTTTAATTCTAAATTTAAAAAAATCGAATTCACACACGTTTTTATTGACACGTGTACTAAAATTGCACTGTTCCTAGATCACGTCACACACTCATTAACAGTCGTTTGATGAATTTGACGAAAAAACTTTATTTGAATCAAATTAACAAAAATAAGGATCCAGTTAAGATGCCAAAAAAGTCAGAGATCTATTTTAAATTCTGAACGAAAATAGAACCTATTGAGAAATTAAACCAAAGAAAATTATTCTCAAGAACTTAATTTCCTTCCAATAATATATATTTTGGGTATACAAAATATAATATTGTTGTATTTATTTGTGAAGTCGACACATTTGTTGCTAATAAGATTTCTTTGTATATTTATTCCGTTATAAGTGTCTAGTCAGTGTTTCTTTAATTTCTTTTTCTTACTATCTTTGAATTTTTCAACTTCTCTTATTTTTTGTGAAAAATTTCTTTTTATTATTGCAACTTGTGTTTATGTAGCTTAAGTCATTGTTCTTATCGCAGTTTATATAATTGTTAATAGAAAAATAGGAATTAAGAATTACATTGGTAATTCGAAAATATCCTAGAAAAGTTGTAGAAATTTGCATGGAACTAACTCAAATTGTTAAATGTAGAACCAAGATCCAAGATTTAAGGAAAGTTTTTATATTACAATTTATAAAAGAATATTAGATAAAGATTATAGTTATAATTATCCAACAAAATTTATTTATATTATTTTCACTTTGAATCCACTTGTGACGTTTAATCTTGAATTTATCGTCTTTGGTTTCACTTATAACATTTTTAAATTGTAATAACATTATTCTTTCAATAAAATATTATTATTAAATTATTTCAATAATTTCTATTTATACTTTAAAAAGAAGACATTATAATATAGAATCTTATCTTAAATGTTCTCTCACTCACGTATCTTAATGAAGATTTTCTCTGACAAATCCAAATGTTTAGACAAATGAAGATTTGTCTAATGTCATATATCTAACAAATTTTATAAAATAATGATTAAATATATTTTTAATTTTTTAATTTTAGAAAAATTATAACCAGTGACTTTGAATCAATTTAATCTTATAAAGATTTAAATTTTTTAAATAAATTTTATTAAATTTATTTTATGTTTTTTTTTCGATAACATTTTCACTTGTTAATTAAATACATGTTTTGAAATATTAAATAAATATAATAAAATGTAATAAATTTAGTTAAAATGATTGATATTTTTAAAATTGAGAAATTAAATTGAATTAAAATTGTAAAAAATAATTATTTTCAATTTTCACTGAAAACATATTTAATTTATAAAATAAACTAAATTCAAATTTTTAGTATGAGAATGTTCTAGGAGAACTTTAGGATTTGAAGAAATAACACTTTTATGAGAGAAACTTGTATGAAATACGTAAAAGTGATTATCTCATAAGTGGAAATATCCAAACATCGAAATATATAAAAAAAAAAAGACTTATTTTGACTCATCAAATGAAATTATAAATTACACTTTAACCCATTTTTAGTTAAACCAAATTACTATAGACTTTCATTAGACTACACAGAATCTTGCATCCAATAAAGATAAATTATATATAATTATATTAATTGTATTTTATAAGATAGATTTAATACCACTGTGATGAATGTATGGATAAAGAATTAAGAAGAACGTTTCATACTAGAATCAGAATTTTACATCTTTTTATTGAGTCTTTGTTATGTTTTTGTATTTATTTTCAATACTTTGTTAATTACATACTTTGTTAAGAAGGAGGTTTAATGCTATAATATGAATTTTATCAGGTCTTTATCGGTGTCAATGAATATTTTTTAGTTGGCAACTTTTTTATGAATATTAGTTTTGTTAGTTAGCTAGCTAATTAGGTGGCCTAGTATGATTCTTGGTTCATATATAAATAGGTTTAGTGTAGTTTAATAAAACAGAGGAATGATTTAGATTTTCATCTTCTCTTCTTGTGATAGAATTAAAAATTCAAGAGAAAGTTTTATGAAAGAGTGTGTTTTATAAAAAAAAAACTAAGAGAATTCTCTCTTAAACGAAAACTAATGTCATATATGACCAATCAAGATGTTTACATATGTCTTTGAGAAATGTATAAATAGACTTAAACACCTAAGAACTCTAAAGAAGGCCAAACACATCACCTCGTAAAATACTCAAAAATAAGAAAACAAACTCAAACTCATTACCCAATGAATGGGCTCTCCCAATGAATTTCTCAAACTGTAATAATCATAACTAAATGTTCGCCCAACAAAATATGCTTGCCCATTGAGGAAAAATAAATGTAGTTTTCTGCATCTAAAGAGTCTAGAGACTGATAGGTTTGTTTCTTAATTTTTATATAGTCACACAAGGCATTCATTTGTGTTTTACAATTATAAATTTTAGGTGGTGTGACGAGAAAAAATGATAGCATCCCAACAAAGAAAAAAGATTAATGACGTACCACACATACTCTCAAATGTTGTTATGCATTATTGGAGAGACGAATGAGACGTATTATGCAGAGGCTTTAGGACTTGAGTTCCTCATAAGTGTGAAAAAGAGTTATTTTTACACTTATAAATGATCTCAATCTTATAATTATTCATGTTATTACATAATAATCTACTTCCTATTACAACTTTTCACTGAGTAATAACATGAATAATTATAAGATTAAGATAATTTATAAGTGTAAAAACAACTCTTTTTCACACTTATCAACTCCCCCAAACTTGAACTATTTCATGCCCTCAGGAAATCATAGAAGAAAAATTAACAACACAACAAACATTTGACATTTTGATAAAATGACTTTGCACATCAGAATAAAAAAATCACATGCATTCCCAAAGATTTCAAACAAATATGACATGGTGCATTACTCACAAAATCACCTGTGCATAAAATATGAACAACCAGATCAATATTTATCATTACTCACCACTCAAGTGTTTGTCCTCACATGACAGTAGAATTGTCATAGAACTTCATCAATTTTTGTATTTCATTTGATTCACATACTTCACACACTATTGGTTAAGTCCAAAGGTCTTTTCAGATTAAGGCTTGCTTGGCTAGAAAAAGAATCATGGTTTTTCTTGGATTCAAAGACACCTATTAAGAAGAGAACAACTTCAATTTCCAATCCAGTACTCAAATCCCATAATATATCATTCATCACATACCATTTTATTTCACAGCTCAACCTTCTTTTTCAATTTAAGCACCCTTTTGATCAACTTTTTTTTTATATTGAACAATTTTTCTTTCCCCAAACTTGAATTCAACCTTACCCTCGTTTAAAGCATAATACTTGTTGTCTTCTAAGGTGTAAGGTAGGATATCATCTAATAGGCTCAAGGTGGAAAGAAAAAATTTCAAGGTTCAAAAGGGTTGACAAATGTATCTGATATGTGTTCAGGATGGTTGTTTGGCCAAGTAGCTGTATAATCAATATCAAACAATGCCTCTTTCATCCTTAACCACACAAGTGTGTATGTATGTAGAATCAAAATCATGCAAAAGTCAATTTCACATCTAGACAACTCAATATCTCTCAATCAACATAGCTTTCAACACTCAACAGATTTGGTCATAGTTCATACTTACTCACAGATAAAAATATGAAGCACATTGCAACCACAGTCATATATGCAATCATCCTCAAGAATCACATGACTTAATCAAATACTACATAAGCATTAAATCAAAACACAACTGTCTTTACAACCACAAACATATATCAACTAAACAAAGTTC